TACTAAGACCTTTCCCCCTGCCAAGCAGAGAAACCCTAAACCCGCGCACCTGCTGAACCCGTGTTTGAGGCCAGGGAGAGCCTAGCAGGTAACCTTGCAGTGCCATTTGTTCCAGCAGGGTCAGATAGTGCAGAGCATCATGAAGCGGTACCAGGCTCAGTGATGTCAGCAGCGCCTTCATCACGACCAAAGCTTGTACTTGATAGGCCTAAGAGGCATGGCGGGGATGTTCCGCAGGCGGCAGCAAGCAGCCCTATGGAGGTTGCAGCCAGTGATCCACCAACACCAATGCCTCCGGTGCCAGCTGTGCCGCATGTGGAGATGAAAGATTCGGATCTCTTGATCGATGTGGCAGAGCGCATCAAGGAAGCACAGGAAGCAGCAGCATCAACTCCCGTCATGGAGGCGGAGACGCCCTTTGATGAAAGGCCGCCTAAGGTTCCTCGCATTGCCAGGGTTGGTGCTAAGGAGTTTCCAATCAATGATGAGGTTCTAGAGTCAGCCGCCGAATGGGAAGATGCGGAGTACTTTCTTGACCTTGGCGAGTCAGCGCAAGAAGAATGGGACATTCCGGAAGATGCAAAGCGTTGGCAAGTGTTAGCCGATGAAGATAGCTTTTGGTTTGATTCCATTCCTGACTTGTCCGAGCAAGAATTGATGGTACTTGACAGCAAGGCTGATCAGTTCGATGTGCAGCGTTTAGTGGACATGAAGGTCATCGAACCGTTTCAAGAATCGGATCCAGATGCCACCGCGTGCAAAGAATTGTCATCCAAGTGTGTGCGAACGTGGAGACCTAAGGAGAGGAATGGGAAGGAGCAATTCTATAGACGCAGTAGGCTTGTTGCCCGGGATTTCAAGTGGCTGCAGCGAGACCGTGAGGGCCTGTATTCACCAGCCACGTCAGCAGCCATCACCAAACTGATTCCTTGGCTGTTCTGTGAGATGAACAGGTGCAATTCAGATGCATCTCCAGAGTCAGAGGTGTCCATCCTGGCTCTGGATGTGAAAGACGCGTACCTCACAGTTCCCCAGCCTACTCCTATGAAAGGAACGTTGTCAGGGTTTGGTGATTTCTGCGCATGATCCCCGGCCAGCGAGAGGGGTCGGCGAAGTGGCATCAACGTATCATGAAATTCCTTCGAGACCGAAAACCTTTGGAAACATGCCTTGAGTGTCCGGCTGTGTTCCGACTGGACTCGAACCCTGCATTAGGACACGTCGATGATTTTGTCCTAGTTGCCAAGACCTTGTGGAGAAAGCAAGTTTGCCTTCCATTGCTGCAGAGTGAGTTCCAGATATCATACCAGATAGCAACGCGCGAGGGAGACAGCTTCAAATTTCTCAAGAGGTTGCACGTGATTACCGAAACGGGAATCATTGTTCAACCAAACAGTGACTACGCCGCAAGGCTTTCAGAGATCCTGGATGTTCCCAAGGAAAAGGGTGCGAAAACTCCGTGTACCAAAGAATTGATGACGGTTGATTCCAGCGCTGAACTTGCG